ACAGCAACACTAAACCCCTGAGCTTGCCTGAGAAGGACTAAATGCACAAAGCTGCTATTTTTAAATATCCCATGGAGAGAGACTCTCACTGCAGCCTGTTCTATTTTGTTGTGAAAATGTGGGCGTGCAGCCTCGTTCTGTGGACGATAAACCAGGTGCAGACTTCCATCTGTGTCACCGCTGATGAGGAAATACAGCGAGTGCTGGACGGAGCAGTGAGTGACAACAACCCCGCCCACATTTAAGAGGACTGTCTGAACAGACCGAGGGTCTAGGTACCACGTCTGAAGGGTTACTGCTGGTTCCAAAGGTGCTGGACTGAAAGTGGAAACAGGGCTAAGGTCTCAAACTTGTGATAGCATCGATTATAAAGTCTGGAGCCTTTTTTTATACCTGAAGGAGCTTTATTCTGCTGTAGTGTTCTCAGCTCTGAAACCTAAAATGTACCCGCATTCCCCTGGGTTCTCTCAGTGTCATCTAGAGCATCTTGCACCATTCATTGTCGATGGAGCAGCTCTAGACTTTCCTGCCTCTGTCGCCTGTTTGTTCCGTTTACTGGAGATGTCTAGAGCTGACCCTGAGGACCATTATCTGGAGTCCACCCAGACATATTTTAATGGATCAGTATCATCTAGAACAAAGCAGATCAAAATCTGATCTTCACGTCCTCTCTGCTCTTCTGTCCACCTCAGCCTGCTGTTGTTGGAGCATTTCTCTCTGGTGACAGTCAGGCTACACACTGCAGCAGAAAATGATTTAATTGCACTGGTGAGTTGGCAAAATTAGCCAAGCTAGCCAAGGTAATATATCAAGGTATACCAGCTGTCACCAGTTCAGGTTTATTATGTGAGTAATTTGATGTCAGGCTGAAATTAAACCTGACTGTTGTTTGGTTTCTGTGTGAGTTTGTGTCCTCTTCAAAGATTGTTTATGAGCCGATAGGAGCATCACTCTGTGACAACACTGCACCACGAATGGACCGAGTGTTTCTGTAGTTCTGACAAATCCAGAGTGATACATCTGATCTTCAGCTGATCATGTCAAGACAGTTTCAGGAGTCGCATTCTCCCACTCAGACTCCTTTATTTCACAAGCTTATCAACTTTAATAGTTTGAATACAGACCTTCAGTATTTAGATGAAGAAAACTAAATTGTGTGTCAGATACATATTTAATCCACATTTAGGTAAAAAGTATGGGAATGGATGATTGATTTGATTTTGTCTTTATTTATTGTGTCATGCACACAAACATGTGCTGAACCCTCATGGGTTTACAATGACGCTGCAGTGATCAAACCAAATTACGGTTATTTTACTGCTCAGTCCGTTAAACAAAATACTCAGCCTTGTATCTCAGGCCTGGCAAAGACATTCAGACACTAAAAAGGTTACCCCTCTGAAACAAAACTCAATTTTTTCAACATAAATAGAGGTCATTTTACTCAAAAAAGTACATCCTTAACTCTCCATATACAGGACAGCACACCTCCTCTGGGGTGGCGTTAAACCTTTCAGTCTCTAAGGCTGCTTTCACACCTGCCCTGTTTGGTTCAGTTCAATCAGACTCAAATTTGGTTCCCTCCTCAGTGCGGTTCGTTTGTACAGGTGTGAACACAGCAATCGCACTCAAAACAACCAGACTGAGACCTTCTTGAAGAGGTGGTCTCAGTCAGGTTACAAAAGAACTCTGGTGCGGTTGGTTTGTGGTGAGAAGGTGTTCCGACCTGGATGTGAAGCAACTGCAGTCACATGACACATTGTTTGGGTTAAACATGAGCATGTTACAGTCCTGGAGGATTATTAATGTGCACCTCCTCCTGTACTGCCTTAATATGCACATTCAGCACATCCAATGCATCAAAACATTGTTTTCTAGTTGGAGCCGCGCCTCGTTTTCAAACTGTATGGTTTGACTAAAATGAACAATGACAGCAATATAGTCCACGATGAGCAGCGCTAAAATCAACCTGCGTAGTTGTCCCTCCATTGTGACATTAGAAAGTGTCACATTTATCTTGCAAGTGTACTCTTCTTCAACGTTTGCTTTACTTCCTGGATTTTTCCCACATGGAAATTCTGACCAATCAAGAGCAGCTTTCTCACACAAGGCATTTGATCTGGTCCTCTTGTAAATGCTGCCGTGAGAACACTTGAGCGTGATTGTGACATATCAGTCTTTTACTTAATGCGGCTGAGGTTGTGTTTATGGCTTCAACTAACAATTTTTCATCATTTATCAATGGATTAAATATGTTTGGTGTTTTTGCCTGATAAATGACCGAAGGACTAATCAGTTATCACAGTAATTAATTCTATCAACTAATTGATAAACACATTTTTTGAGGTTGCAGTCTGTGTCCTTCTCTGTCCCTTTGTCTCCATGAACACAGGCTGCTGCTGTTCAAAGCTCTGCTTCCTGTTTGAAGCCATCACAGGCCTCACAGTGCTGCGGGAGGCCGGCTTTTATCATCACACCCAATCAGAAATGCTGTCAGCTTCCCACTGCGTTCACTCCGTGTCTGCGTTCATCTCAGCAGCTTCATACATGTCTGACAGGTCATCTGTCAGCTCCCTTATTAAATGTAACGGCAACGCTTTTCTCTGGATCAGATTTATTACTGAGCCTGAACAGTGTGGGGAAATAATCTAATTAATTGCGATATTTTTTTAGATCTGTATTACGATTCAGCAGTTTTTTTTTAAAAGACATTCCTTATCGTCTATTATTCACATACACAAGCAGTAAATCAGTGACCAACACAACAGTGGATACAGTCAACATATAAACTCATCTTTCATGTAGCCCACACTCACATGTTGTTATGAAATGAATGAATTTATTTTAGGGATGCACCAATCGATCAGCTGATAGTCACCTTGTAGGCCTATCGTAAATACGATGACACTCACTGATGGCAGTGGCTGATGTTTTTGCGTTGCATCAGATCAATTTTGAGCAGGTTAAAAAGCACAGCTCCGGACTAACAGCGTCGCGGGGACAATGGAAAACATCTTCCTTGGGACGAAAGATCGCAGTAAACTCATTATCATCACATCAGAAGTCGCACCCTATTGTTTTCCTGATGATGCTACACTGTGAACAACAGGTCTGTGTTGACATCAGCAGGAGGCGGGCTAGTTTGTGTTGGAAGTTGCATTAAGTTATTAAAGAGATATACAAATTATTTTCTTCTTTTCACGTGGTAATGTTTTAAATTTATTTTGTTTGTAGGAGATGAAAATGATTTATTTTATGCTGTTTTAGAGATCTTGATTTTCATTTTAAATCTAAAGTGTGACCTTTTTGAAGCAGTGAAGTTAGTTTTCTACTTTTGACATGCCATAATTAAAAATGTATTTTGTTTGCAAGAGATGGAAATTATTTATTTTATACCATTTTAGAGAACCTAAAACCTTCTGAAGAGATGCAGGTTATTTTTCAATTTTCACATGGCAATATCTAAAATAATTCATTTTGTTTGTAAGGAATGCAAGATATTTATTATCTAGCTTTTTAAGGAACTTGCTTTTGACATTAAAACCAAAATGTGGCCTTTCTTGCAGGACGTTTTCATTTCAAAACTAGAAGAGCACTCGGAGAGTGCAGACCTCCATCAAGCAGCTCGGATTTCCCGCAATTTTATTATTTTATCCACTTTGCTTCAACCGATCACCACCAAAATTTTATCCTCTGTTCCTTGTCCCATTATCCACCTTTCCTAAAAAAATTTCATCAAAATCCGTTAAGAACTTTTTGAGTTATTTTGCAGACAAACAAACAGACAAACAGACCAACGCCGGCGAAAACATAACCTCCGTGGTGGAGGTAATAATTGTTCCTTAATCATAATCGAGGTAAAATATTCAGTTAATCATGATATTGATTTGTGGTCATATCACAGAGCTTTATGACACAGAGCCTCTCCTGCTCTGTGCTACATGTGTGAAAAGGAAACACTGGACAATGTCTGTCTGTTGGTCTACCACACGCTTGCTTTGCACACAAAGGGCCTCACTACTCTTACAACACTGTAATATGTAAATATGTGAGTTTTAGTGAAGCCTGACCTTCGTCATTTTCTCACAACAGTTCTGTGAGCATCAAAGCTCACAAGTGGCATTTTACCAGTTTTTTTCTTTACCTACTCTCCTTCACATATGTCACATGGAGCGCAGTGCAGTGTGTGGGCACGTGAAGCCCACAGGAGCAGGTGTTTCCGACCTTGTCTGTTTGAATTGGATTAATTGTTCAGCCCTATTTATTACCTTCTAATGAGGTGTGGGCATGTGGGAGCATTCAGTCTTTTCTGTGGGCTCAGCTCTTATCTGTCCTCCAGGGAGAGATACAACACACCAACCATTCTGTCAGCGATGTTTTTATATCTGGTGTGGCTTAAATGATTCGAGGGTTGTGACTCCTTCCGGTTCTGATGCCAAAAAAAGTATTGTTGTTTTGAAACAGTGATTTCAGCAGATGAGACGACTACCTGGTCCAAAGTAGACAAAACTTTAGAAGATGACAAATCCTGACTGATGCCACAAGGAATGAGCAGCGACGTCTGTCATGACTTCGATTTGCAAGAACAGCGGTTGTTGTGAGCTCTTCCTGTGTTCCAGGTTTGACGATTCATTCTGCTTCATCTGTGTCTCCCCAGGTGTTTAAAGAGGAGAAGTACTTGAAGGAGGCTGCAGACTGTGCTGAGGTGATCTGGCAGCGAGGCCTGCTCAGGAAAGGCTACGGCATCTGCCACGGCACCGCTGGCAACGGCTACGCCTTCCTGTCCCTTTACAAGCTCACGCAGGAGAAGAAATACCTGTACCGCGTCTGCAAGGTAGGAACAAGTTACAGCATCATGACTTACCGAACTGGGAGTACAAAAAACAACAAGAGTCACTGATTTGAAAACATACTTGGGCCAGTTGTAGAAATGCTTGAACGCATAGAGTGTGAACAAGTAGTTACGCAGCATCAGACGTAATCATGTGACGCCGGCAGCTCCATCATTGTTAGGTGATGGTTAGGAATTAAAAAATGCCAGTAGTGATGGCCTCATGAAGCATTTTCTTTATTTTCTGAGCCCACTAGATGGCGCTCATGGTTTAAAGAGAAAGGCTCAAAGAATGGCAGTGTGAACAAGGAAATGCTTCATGAGGCTTCATTTGGCCATCTCTAAATGCCGACTGTGTTAAGGCCCGAACATACTCGGGCAGAACGTACGCGGAACGGACTCCGTGAGGAATGTCTGCAGTCATTCGGGCTTCCATAGTCGAGCGCAGTTCCGCGTTGTAGTTTCCTGTAAAAATGTCTGTGAAAAATCCCCGCATTGTGAAAAATACATGCCGAGCAGTCACTGGTGCACAGAGCGGAGTCCGCGCGGTCGTAAAATCTGAGCTTTGCGCGCACAGGGCTTGCGGACATCCGCTTTGAGTCCACACGGACCTCCGCGGAGTCCGTTCCGCGTACGTTCCGCCCAAGTATGTTCGGGCCTTTAGAATGAATTAACATGACATTAATAACAACAAGGAGCACCCTTAAAATGGATGCACACATCAGTAGTCTGGTAGCGTTATAGGAGTGTGATGCTGAGTCTGTTAAGTTCTATTTAAAGCGGCAGTGTTTAACATTTTTGTCAGCTAAAGGTTGAGATACTCGTAAAATGGTAAAAAATAAATAAATAATGAGTTGCATAATGTTTTCTATGTAACAGCCTTGTAAGCTGCTCATGTCGTGCACCTTCATCAGAGTTCAAGTTGTTTAACAGTACATTATTTCAGTTTCCTGTTGCGACCAAACAGCCTTCACACTGTTTAACTGAATTCATTATTTCTGTTATGAAGCAGCTGTATTTTATTTTACAGCAGGACTGCGGTGAAATGTACATTTCCTTACCATTAACAACCGTTAGCCTCGATGGTCTACTGTCTGTTGATTGGATGGAATCATATTTCAAGTCCTCCTCCCCAAAATGAGTTAGATTTCGGTGCAGAAGTTGAAATGATCAGCTTAAAGACAGTAGATGTTCTGATGCTGGAATAAATTACATGCACTGAATGTGTTGTTGGTGGCTCTGACTTAATGAAGAAATTATTTGATGTATAATTTTCTTCACATTTTCTCAGACATGCAGAAGGAGGTATATAAACATGTTCATATTTCCTTCCTCCAGTTTGCTGAGTGGTGTTTGGCCTATGGGACCCACGGCTGTCGCATCCCAGACAGACCCTACTCTCTTTTTGAAGGTATCAAGTATTTATCTTTCAGCTTTCCACCAGACTGATGATAAACTGCTCTGACATTTCCTTCCCCTGCACAAGCCCCATCGATTGAATCAATGTACAAAGAGCAGAGATTTAAATGCAACACTTTTGTCTTCGCTCTCATATTTCACCGGTTGAAGTAAAAGATCCAAAGCCCAGTTCAGACCAAAGATTTGTGACGAGACGAAATAGTTTAGGAATGTTGCAGAATGGTAGTGATGGCCAAATGAAGCTTCATGAAGCAATTCAGTGTGCTTTCAACATTTTGTTGACGAAAAGCGCCATCTAGTGGGCTCAGAAAATAAAGACAATGCTTCATGAAGCTTCATTTGGCCATACTACAGAACGGCACATTGCAAGTAGTTGCACGTTCAACTTGTCTTGTAACTAATCTTTGGTCTGAACTGGGCTTAAGACTTTTAATGCACAATAGATACATGTGTCTCAAATTTTTGTCATTTTTTAAATTTGTTAAAATCCATGTCAGTGAGCACTTTTTCTTTTCCAAGATAATCCATTCACCTGACAGGCGTGACTAGTGACAGGTGTGACTAGTGAAGCTTCATTTGGCCATCACTAGGTGTGACATCAATATGCTGATTAAACAGCATCATTACACACAGGTGTGTCTTTGGGTGGTCACAATAAATGGTGACTGATAATGTGCCATTTTTTCAAAGACATTTGTTAGGATTCCACATGACTAGCACTAGAAATGCATTTTTATTTTAGTCACAGATACCCCAAAGAATCAGTCACAATCTGGTGTGACGCCTTTTGTCACACAGAGTTGATCAGGTTTTTGATTGAGGCCTGTTGAATGTTGGTCCACTTCTCTTCAGTGGCTGTGTGAAGTTGCTGAATATTGTCAGGAATTAGAACACGCTGTAATTCACGCTGACCCAGAGCGTCCCATACATGCTTAATGTCTGGTAAGGATGCAGGCCATGCAAAAGCAGGGATGTTTTCAGCTTCGGGGAGTAGTGTACCGATCCTTGCAACATGGGGCAGTGCATTATCATGCTGCAACATGAGGTCATGGCGGTGGATGAATGGAACCACAGTGGGTTTCTGGATTTCGCCACAGTATCTGTACCTTCAAACCATCATCAATAAAATCCATCTGTTTTTGTTCTCTGTGATGCCAGTCCTTACTATAACCTAGTGATGGCCAAATGAAGCCTCATGGAGCATTTTCTTTATTTTCTGAGCCCACTAGATGGCGCTTTTTGTTCCACAAAAGGTTGAAAGCACACTGAATTTCCATTCTTTGAGCCTCTCTCCTTAAACCCTGAACACCATCTAGTGGGCTCAGAAAATAAAGAAAATGCTTCATGAGGCTTCATTTGGCCATCACTGCTATAACCCCACCGCCACCATGGGGCACTCTGTTCACAACATCAACATGAGCAGATAGATCAATCCTTCATTTGGTGATTAAAGCACCAAATTTGATACTGATTGTGACCATCCCGAGGTTCACCTGTGTAGTAATGATGCTCTGTAATCAGCATCTTGATATGTCACACCTGAATAGATTGTCTTGTGAAAGAAGAAGTGCTCACTTACGTGGATTTTATCAAATTTGAGACCAAAACTTGAGAGAAATACATCATTTGAGTGCATAAAAGAATCGTAGCTCTTGAACTTATACCTGTGAAGAAACGAGAGCAAAAAAACGTTGCGTTTTAATTTTTGTTCAGTGTAATAGCAGACCTGTAATCTGTGTTACAAACATTCATTCACACAGTCTGCTGCTGCTACCTTTTCATCCTAGGTATACAGCACCCTGTGTAATTCTATCAGTGTGAAGTTAAGAGAGGCTTTTCACTAAGCTGTAAAGACACAACTAAGAATACTACTGGCAGCATAACACTGCAGAAAAGCTCCTTTCAGTAGAAACGAACCACTGATTGCACAGAGGCAGGGGGTCTAATCAGAGGTTTATGGAGATACAAAATACTACTTAGTTTAATGCTTTATAAAATAATCAACGTCTTCTTTTACTGACTAACGGGAGTAAGTGCTCTCATGATAACCAACACGGACTCTTATAAATAGGAAGACTGAAACGTTTATTAATGAAGAATAGGGTCTTCATAAGTGTCATGCTTTATCTGTGGTTCATTCATCAGCTGCTTGGCGACCAGCTGACTAGTAACATGAAGTTATGTTGAGTCAGTCTTTTTTAACCTGACTCGTCTCACTTCTCTCTGCTGGTAGGCACATGAGCAGAGCAAATGTGTGTGTATATTGATCACAGAAGGAAATTTACTGGTATTTCAGCATTCATCAATATGTCAGTAGCTCCGGTGTTTTAGTAGGTACAAACAAAATCTACACCTGCTTCTAGTGATGGCCAAATGAAGCCTCGTGAAGCATTTTCTTTGTTTTCTAAGCCCACTAGATGGCGCTTTTTGTTCAACAAAAGGCTGAAAGCACACTGACTTGCCATTCTTTGAGCCTCTCTCTTTAAACCATGAGCGCCATCTAGTGGGCTCAGAAAATAAAGAAAATGCTTCATGAGGCTTCATTTGGCCATCACTAGTTGTCATCATTAGAAATTACAGTTTTGATTCGTATTGTGTTCTGTTATGTTCACAACAGTATTTTCTACATTTTTTTGGGTAATATTATGGTTGCTCTTTCGTATATTTTTTTTCCTACATATTTTTGCTATTCCTTCTTTTGTTTACTTACTTTGAATAGTGACATTATTATTGTCCTCATCTGAGATAAAGTTAAGCTGTGTGATTACAGAGAGATTTGCTCTAACACTTCGCACATATTATGAGGCTTTAGATTAGATTTATTATTAGCCTCCTCTCTGTGTTTCCTTTTTAAGGAGTTACTGCTGTCAGTGGTTGTTATTTTGTTTTTTCAGGACCATTAAGGCTGACTTCTATGCGGGATTAACCCCTATTTCTAATATTTTTGTGATGTATTTGTTGTTATATGGATTGATTGATTTATTGATGTGTTGACCACACCCATGGGTGTTGCCCGCTAATTTTATAAATGTGACTAGCTGAGATGTCTCAACACGAGTGACCCGATGAAGAGCCGGTAGGCTTGAAATGTTGTCCTTTTATACTATGATGATAAAATAAAGTTTTTTGTTTTTTTTTTATTCGGAGCAGCTACAGTGTTGCAAGTCTTTTCTTTCATCCTGATCACGTCTTTTCTACTCGGCACCTGGTAATATGGATGTACGTGTGACTACCTCTCCTAAATAAAAAATAGACATAAATATTGGTTGTCATTAGTGATGGCCAAATGAAGCCTCATGAAGCACTGTCTTTTTTTTCTGAGCCCACTAGATGGCGCTCATGGTTTAAAGAGAGAGGCTCAAAGAATGGCAATTCAGTGTGCTATCAACCTTTTGTTGAACAAAAAGCGCCATCTAGTGGGCTCAGAAAATAAAGAAAATGCTTTATGAGGCTTCATTTGGTCATCACTAGTTGTCAGCACGATAAAACTGAAGACATGCTAATTCCATGTGTTATCCTCAGCCTATCACTGATCCCCAGTGTGCTGTCTTCACTCCAGGCATCGCTTTACTGTACCTCCAGCTGCACCGGGTGACCCACGAGGCCGCCCACCTGCTGTCGTCATTAGAAATTACAGTTTTGATTCGTATTTTGTTCTGTTATGTTCACAACACGCAACACGCAAGTTAAACACGACAAAAGATTAGAAATATGACGTTTCACAAAATTAGTTGCCAATTATCAGAGTTAAGCTTCAGATTAGGTTTCTTAAAAATGTGAACAAGTTCTTTGAATCGACTTAATACATGTTTTCTACATTTCTGGCATCGCATTCGCACAAATGTATCTTCTGTTTGAGTGGCTGGCAGTAATGGATGTTTCTCCTCTCAGGTATGGCGGGGGCCATCCACTACCTGTCAGAGGTGGCAGAGCCTGAAGCCTCCTGCTTCCCTGCCTTTGAGCTTTGACCTGCCAACTGATGTGACTGAGGATGATGAAGGGGAAGAGGGACAAAGTGTTTTGGACCAAACTTGAGTCTTTGCTCAAGAGCTGGACAAGGATGTATTTGTGATGCAGCTTTCAACCTGGGTCATGAGCAAGTAGTGACCGAAATACACTGAAAATGAACTGAGCAGTGTGAGTTGGGTCATGATATTGATAATGTGCAAAAGGACAAAGGGAAGATTAATTTTGGACAAAACCACAGGTTGAATGTTGTTGATCCAGTGAAAATAAAAGCCAGACTGAAGAGGACATATTTGTCTTTCTGAAGATGGACACTTACATCCTGCGGAGCCTATCATTGGAACTCTGTCCAAACATGTGAGTCTTTCAGCTCTGAGGTCCCCCGTCATCCTCCAGTGTGTTGGGGCAAAGACATGGACCCCATGTCTCTTCCTCACCCAATTAATCGCCAGCTGGCATGGACACACAAGAACACACTCTAACCCTCAGCCTTTAATATCATAGCACCTAGGCCAAGAAAGAGGGTGAGTGTGTGTGCGTGTGTGTGTGTGAAGTGAACTAAAGCTGTTTTGGTATTTCTATGCCTCTGCATGCTCACTGTAACTGGCTCTTGGTGCCTCATATTCTGTCCGTGTAGTGATTTCCCCTTCCTGTGTTTGTAGGTGTGCTGTTTCACTTCTCCAGGTGTTTGTCACATGGTGGAGAAAGGTTTCTCTGTCAACTTTCATTTTATGAACACAAGCATAGTTTAAAGATCACCAGACATTTGCGAAGCTAACCAGTATATCAGCTGTTAAGTCTTAAGTTTCTCTTTAATTTCTGTGTAAGGAACTGCAATAATATGACAGATATAGTGCATATTTTTTTCATTTCCAAGTGACAATAACAATGTTTTTGGTGAGTTTTGGTTCAGAATGTTGCGACAAGACTGTCCACTTCTGTGGTGACTGACTAGAGAGTGTCATACAGTATTGTACACAAGCCCTTGTTGGCCCTTTTTTGGACGAGTCTATTTAGTTTTTGGTGTCAGTCATTAGGTATTTCAGCCTCATGTCGTGTTTAGTACAACATTAATTATTTGGGAGGCCGTGTTGCGCTATTTAGTCCTATAACACTCTAGAGGCTAGTGCTTTGCTTGCTAAAGTTAGCACTCATTTCCACTTAGCGTTCATTTTTGATGATGTTATTTCAGCTCCTGCACACTCTGTGTTGTCTTTGTCCCACGTGATATGATGGAGGGGTCCAGTTCGTGTTAGCGGTCTCTTCTGAGTCCAGTCTGGCACAGGGTAACGTAGTCCCCCAATGCCAGATGGATCCCTTACAGACTCATTGATTCAAGCCCTAAGCCCTTACAGACCTAGGACCAATTCCATTTCTTCCCCTTAGCCCTTGTCTTGGTCAGGTTAAGAGCTAACCTGACGGAGAATTGGGACACCACTTCCCCTCACGTGAACGCGCAAAACCAAGGGGAAGGGCCAAGACTAGGGCTAAGTGGAAGAAATGGAATTGGTCCTAGGTCTGTAAGGGCTTGAGTCAGTGAGTCTGTAAGGGATCCATTTGGGATTGGGGGATTGGGTCATGTAAGAAGGGCTGAAGTCACAAAGGGGACTAATGTTCAGAAACGGCAAACACTGTGCCCTTATTTCTGGTAACTGACCCTTCGCTAAGCCGGGTGTGCAGATGAACGGTGTCTGGCTTCGCCCAGAGCTCCCAGCCCATCTGGTAGCAGAGGGACAGGTGCTGGCGTCGGCACAGAGAGGAAGCCAAACACCGTTCAATGCACAATGCGGTCACTGGTTCCTGTACAGCAGGGTCGGTCTTTGTTTCACTGTTATAATCGTTAAGTCATCGTTAACCTCAACGTTAACTTCTGTGGTGTTCAGTTTGTCACATTTATAGCATCAGTCCGGTTTAACACTTAGTGGTGAGACGGACGTGCGCAAGCAGGTCAAGTTGGAAAGTGTTAAATGTATGCATTTCATTTTCTGACATATTACAGAAGATCACATTTAAATTTCACTTATCTGAAAAGAGGGTTAACTCACCGTGGGCAAGTATTAATGTTGAGTCCTGTGACAGGAAAGAAAAACGCTTTGGTGGACACGTAACGCCACCAGGTTGTGGACTGATGATTTATTTAATCTTAAGATAACCTGTGCAGGTTTTTCCCCCGTCAACAAATCAGTTGGTAGATGAGTATGTAGAATTCCAGTCTACCAAAATTTTCTTTGGTTGGTTAAAGCCCTAGTGTGAAGTCACAAGCCACTGTCCCCCAGCTGAGGCTTTCCCCCACAATGTGACAAGTGACTGATGGTTTAAAATCAAAGTTAGAGCGCCGGTTTGTGCATTGGTCCTTTACCTAGCAGACACAACAATAACGTTAGCTTGCATCTGTCAGCACGCACTGGCTTTCAAAACATTTGAAAGTGAACAGTAGGTACGGCCACATGAGGTTTTGAGTACAATATATTATGCCTTAAACTTTCCCCACCCAACCACGCCTCACTTTGGTTCCTCTCTTCGCCGATAACCCACTACTGTTGTAGGTACAAACACAGCTGAGGAATCAAACCTCTGTCTCGTCTACATTTATGAGTTGTCCGATAAGAAATAAGCCCTAACACCTAAGGTGAGATCTACTGACAGCACCCAAAGTAACGTCTGCGTCATCAACTGAAACAGAACGTCCTGGACTATTTAGAGTACCATCTAGAAACTACATGAGTGTTGCTACCATTTAGGTTCAGGTGCCATCTGGGTTCAGGACTCTGTCAGAGCTTAGCCTAAAACTGATGTTTTTGAAATCTTCAGCTGATCGGCAGGCCAACAATTTGCTGAAAAAGCAAATATATTCAAAACCACCTTTGAAATAAGAAATTCGAGATGTGGTAGCAGTAGCTGAAAAGGGTTGGTAGACATCACATAAACTAAAGAAAGACCAAAGAAGAAGTCGCAGGTTCTCAACAAGGGAGGTTTCTAACGACTGATTTCCCTGATGTCTAAACAGAAGTTTAACTAAAAACTAAAAGTAAGAAAACACCCTGACAGGCAAGGTCATTATTTATTTATTTATTTATTTTGCTGGCAACATTGGCCAAAACCTGAATTTACCTCTAAGTTTGTTTTTTTTAAATAATTTTGCTATTTTTGCTGTTTTTTTTCTATAGTTTCATTATTGCTGCAGAACAATGGCAGCAAGTGATGTGGAACATCAGATATTTGTAGTTAGTTAACTGAAAAAAGTAAAACCATTTATTATTTCCTGCATTTTGCTGAACTTTCAGTGTCCTCTGTATTGTGCACTCAGCTTGTCATTTTGCACAGCTTTGTCACTGTTAAAACAGACCGAATAAAGGTTAAAGTTTAATATCTCCAACAAAGAAGATAATATCTCCAACCTCGGAGATAATATCCCATGTAAAGGAAATAGTATATCCTACCCAGGAGATAACATGTACAAGACAATATCTCCTACCTAGGAGATAACATCCAACCCAGGAGATAATATCCCATGTAAAGGAAATAATATATCCTACCTAGGAGATACCGTCCTATATGAGGGAGATAATATCACATATGTAGGAGATAACATCGCATTTGTAGGCGATAATGTCTCCTACCTAGGAGATAACAATAGGAGGAAAAAGGAGGGAGTATCAACAGTATAATAGTATAATAACTAACCCTTTAAAACCTGAACAAATTGGCCCAATTCCTTTTGAAAACACACACACAAAAGGCAATGAGCAGCTTTACAAGAAATAACCAAACAATTAGCAAATAATTAGTTAAAGTTACAGAAAAATGTCTTGAAAAATAGTTTTCATTTCATTTTTTCCTTTTTTATTTAAAAATTCTTTTTTTTTGTCAGTTTTTGCAATTTTCATTCAATTTGCAGGACATTTCTTGCCAAGCTGTTCATTGTCTTTTCTTGCACGTTTCCAAAAGAAATCAGTTCGCTCAGGTTTCAAAAACGTGTGTGTGTGTGTGTGTGTGTGTGTGTGTGAACCCAATGTGAACCTGCCGTGCCAAACACATTAATGTTTCACTGCTGGAACATTGTGTGAAGCATTTAAAGTTATACTTTAAGCACACTCAGTTTCTGAAAGTATTTTACTAGCAGACGTGATAAGATCCACAACAACACCCAAAAATTGGTGATTTAAACATTTTTTAGTTGTTTTTCTTTTAATATTTGACGAAAGCCTTCGGTACAAAACTAGAGTTGACCAGCAGTTAGTCTCGCTCACCAGACCTTTCTCAAGAAAAGAAAGGTCTGGCTGAGCTGACTCTCACTTTAAGATTGGAGAAAAAAACACCCCGGCTGCTTGTGCTTCTTTCAACCAATCACAATCGTTCTGGGCGGTGCCACAGCAACGGTGCACTTGCAAAAATATTCCCGGGGGGAAACAGGTTTTGGTGTAACACGCCCACAAAAATATCGCCTACAGGACGCGAACCATGGCAGAAAAATGGCTACATCCCCGCAAGATCAAACACCGCAAAAGTTAGTAAAGGACGTGTTGAAAACGGTTGAAAACTGCTACACAACCGGAGGTGGTAGGGCGGGACTTCAGCGGGTGGCTCGTTCCGTCCAATGAGAGGCTGATCTGTGTAGCTAACTTCCGCCCACTCGGACTAACCGGCAGTTGACGTAGTTTCCTCCAATCAGAGCTCTGTACGTCACTTATAGACAAAGCTCTAATCAACCCTGAGCTCAGATGGTTGCCGTCATGTGTGGTACCAACGATGAGTTAAAGTGATACCTGGTGGTAAAAGTGTGCAGTACATCCAATGATCCCGACAGCACATGAATGCACATCAATGCCTAATTCTCCTGCAGAGATCTCGTCCTGAATGTTTTTGCATGAGGATAACGTCACATATAAAACCTGTGTTCATCTGTCAGTGTTTCCAGGTTCACTGGTCCCGATGTGTTTGGTGGTGATTTGTATCCTGATCCCGGCCGTGAGGAGTGTTTAACCTCTCTGTCTGTGTTTTTGATCTGCTCTCTGCCTAACTGCTGTCAAGATGTGTGTGTGTGTGTTTTTCCTCATTACACTCTTGGACTTCAGTGATAGAGCGGTGAAAAGTAAGATGTCTTAATTGTTCTGATTTTGGGCGAGTCGATGTTGACAAAGGTCAAGTGACAGAATTCATGTAAGGTTTGATATTGTTGGAAATAAAAAATGAATAGAACTCCTTGTTGCTTCTTGTTTGTTTTTTTATTCCTCCGTACCAGCGATCTTCAAATTTGGCACAAACGTTCACTTGGACTCAACGATGAACTGATTACTTTTTGATGATCATAGGTCAAAGGTCAAGGTCACTGTGACGTTGTCTTTCTCATTCTTGTAAACGTAATAGATCTGAAGAACGCCTTAAGGGAATTTCTTTAAATTTAGCTCAAACGTTCACTTAACGTCAGGTTGAACTGATTAGATTTCGGTGGTCAAGGGTCAAAGATCAATGTCCGTGCATGACCTTGCATCCATCACATTCTCATAAACACGATATTCCAAAAACAACTTGAGGGAGACTCGTGAACATGATATCTCAATTTCTTCAAATTTGGCACAAACATTCACCTCGACTACTGAATGAAGTGATTAGATTTTAGTGGTCAAGGGTCAAAGATCAATGTCCTTGCATGGCCCTCCATCTGTCTCATTCACGTGAACATGATATTTCAAGAACGATTTGAGGGAAACTCTTGTGTACGTGATATCTCAGGAACACCTTCAGGGAATTTCTTAAAATTTGGTACAACTGCTCACTTGGACTCGACAACGAACTGATAAGATTTTAGTGGTCAAGGGTCAAAGATCAATGTCGCCATGACCTTGCGTCTGTCTCATTCTCATGAATGCGAAATTTTATATTTGGCACAAACGTTCACTTAGACTTAAGGACGGACTGATTAGATTTTGGTGGTCAAGGGTCAAAGATCAATGTTGCCATGACCTTGTATCCATCACATTCTTGTAAATGCGATATTTTAAGAGCACTTGAGGGAAATTCCTTTCGTTTGGTACCAACGTCCACTTGGACTTAAGAATAAACTGATAAGAATTTTGTGGTTGAAGGTCAAAGACCAAGGTCACTGTGATCTTAAATATGTTTTTGGCCATTTGTTTTTGTCGCTTTTTGATGTCATTGACACACAAACTAACCTCATTTTTTTTGTTTTTGTTTTTTTCTGACTTTTTTGTTGTTTCAAGGTTTTTTATATGTGCAAATTGAGACGACACAAAAACAGGTAGATGTGGAGGCACCTTCAGAAAATATTTAGCTTTTTTTATTGTATCGTAAAATGCTACTGGTGGTATGAACAAACAAAATCAAGTAAATCCTTCAGTCAGTATCACATTTTATCAGAAGTGAAGTTTATTTACATATTTCACAATGTATAATGTTTTTTCTGTCTAAAGACCAGATGAAAAGGAGAAGAGTTTAACAAGGAGAGGATAAAAACAGCAGAGACACAAAGAGAACACAGGTTAAGATGCTTTAATTACATTACCTGTTGCATAGTTTGACATGATTAAACAAAACACCTCTAACGTTGTGCTGTGTGTTTCCAATGACTGACTCTGTCGCTGCTTGGGGCCCTGGTCTCATTCTAAAACCTGCTGAAACCAGATCAGAGTCAGAGGGGTCACTACAGAGGTGTGTGCACTACACATGTTCTTTCACAGTGAAACATCACCACATCTGTCTGGAGAGCAGGATGGATCAGGACAGGACAGGAGTCACCGCCAAAATGTCATGAAACAGTTTTTAAAACTGAGAATTAAATGATCCTAACAAAGTGCCGATACAGACTTTACTGTTGTACAAATCTTTTACAGCTCCATCTGGTGCCATACGGCGAGTCCACCGGAGGACAGTCTGTTCATCTTTAAATTTACCACAACTGGACAGGAAACACAGAGGTACACCAAGACTGGATGTAGGTATATTCATGACAGACCAAAATAATAAGGGTTAGAAATGGTGTAAGTATTTGCCTTTAACACAGCTGATGGACTGATGTGAATGACATTTAATTTTTGTAAAAGCAAGAAAACTACAGACCAGATTATTGCACTGGAATTTGCTGTAGATATTCCTGGTTCCTACAGTATGAAGTATTAGGTTTTGATTCCCATCCTTTAGCCTATGGAAGTCCATTTCTGCCTGTTAGGGAGGAAGAGAAAAAGAAAACAAAATTCAACACTAAGCTTTTTTCACTAGAAAAGTTATTTTCTCCGTTTTGCAGATCCTAAAAGCCATTTCTGAACAGAGATGTGCTGCAGGAATATAGAAAATCTAAATTTTCTGCATAACCGTTATGCACACCAGATGCAGCGCAAACCATCTGCGTTATTGTGTGTTATTTTAGTCAAAGACAAAAAAAGCTTCCTTTAGTGATGGCCAGATGAAGCCTCATGAAGCATTTTCTTTATTTTATGAGCCCACTAGATGGCACTTGTTCAACAGCAGGTTGAAGCACACTGAATTGCCATTCTTTGAGCCTCTCTCTTTAAACCATGAGTGCCATCTAGTGGGCTCAGAAAATAAAGACAATGCTTCATGAGGCTTCATTTGGCCATCACTACTGTCAGGATCCTGAACTGTTTGGTATAAAAATGGTCACACTTCACCACACTGTATATTTGATCCTGTCCTCTTTACCACTAATTTACAGCCTCATTCATAAAATGTGTTACAGGAAGAACTTTGAAAAAAACTAACTCACCAGTGCATTTTCTTTATGACTTTAAAGCTGTGGTGGCTGTGCAGTGAAGAGAAGCATTATTTTTTTGGACGAAATCAGTTTAATGGGAAATTTTCTCGAACTCATGACTTAGTATCACAAAATAATAATGACATTTCTCAAAGTAATGACTTGGTATCTTTAAATTATTAGAATATTCCTCAATGAAATGAGAAACTTTCTCAAAATATTGACCTCTCATTGAGTTAATATTGACAAACAAAGTCGTTATTTTGAGACATTAAATTCTTAATTTAAGATACCAAGTCATTTTTTTGAGAATGTTCCTTGTTATTTTAGATACTGAGCCATTGTTTTGACAAAGTTTCTCATTATTTTTAGATAATTAAGCACTTATTTTAATAAAGTTTTCATTATTTTAAGATACAAACTCATTTTAAAGCTTTTCATCATTTTCAGATACTAACTTATTATTTCTAGAAAGTTTCTCAAAAGGACTTTTTTTCCACCACACTGGTGGAAATGAGCTTCCATATTTTCCATCAAAGTTAATACAAACGTGAAGTCAGAGACGGTGTCGGACTTCCTCCTCACTCACTGAATTGAGTGCTCACAATGTGCTTTCTGTATTAGTTCAGTATTTTGGGAAATATGATTATTTGCTTTGTTGTCCTGAGTTAGATGAGAAAACTGATACCACTCTCATCTCCATACAATACACATATGAAGCTACAGCCAGTAGCTGAGCAGACGTTTGTTGCCACAGCTGCAATTGAAGGAGCAAAATGTTGATTTAAACCCTGTCAGGTCGTGTAAATGACCAATCAGCAGCTTCTGATTTTCCCTCACTGGGGTTTCAGTGAGCAGAGGTGGAGAGATGAAATATCCATGCTAAGTGCAAATAAGCTGCGTGTAAAGAAATTGTTATCTAAAGTTGCCCTGAGCCACTCTGGGAAGCAGCTCGATGTGTGAGGCTCTCAGCATGTAACACTCAATGATTCAGCAGGAATGTCAGCTGAACATAAACATGGATCACTGCTGCAGCTCCTACACAGCACAGTTACTCTCAACTACAACGTCACAGTCAAAGAGCGCAAGAAGCACCGTTATTTGCATCCACTTCTCTCAGTCGGCTCCCTGTTTAAACACCAGTACGGGTTGATTCATTGAAACATGTCCCCTAAACTATGTGCTCTTTTATTTCAATCTGACCTAAGGATTTCTCCATAGTGTGGGCCCTTAGTGTCTGTGCGTCAGTGCAGCTACACCAAAATGGAAATGTGGCTGATGGTGCATTTGTTTTAGTTTTGTATGCTGATTTAAGTCATTCACTTGGACTCGTATAAAGTTGCTGCTGATCTACTGGCTAATGGTACAAACAAACAGTATGTCACTTGTGCTCCGGTCAGATGCTACTCTAAACCTGTGTTTACCAGCTCCTTATGGCGCACAATATATGTTATATATCACTGCTGTGATTAGTTCAGGCAGGACACGATGTCAAGCTCAGCTCACATCCCAGCTACATTAGCTGATCTCAAGCAGCCCAATCAACTGATGGAGCAGCTGATTGATGGAAGGGAGTCAGCTGATAGATCACATGATTCCTTTCTATGCAACCAATTGGTGAATCTCATTAAGGGCGCCCTATTTAAACTGCTCTGACCTGCCTACTGTTGCTGCTGCTTTGCAACCTGCCTCCACCCCAGCTCCTCCTTTTTATGCTGTGTCTGACTTATCAATGTCATTTCTGTTTGTCATTGATGCTACTCTGTTCTGTTCCCGGGGGTCTTTGCTGCTGCTCTCCCTGCCTTAGGCTTTCCATGTAGGTAGTGATGGCCAAATGAAGCTTCATGAAGCATTTTCTTTATTTTCTGAGCCCACTAGATGGCGGTTTTTGTCCATCAAAAGGTTGAAAGCACACTGAATTGCCATTCTTTGAGCCTCTCTCTTTAAACCATGAGTGCCATCTAGTGGGCTCAGAAAATAAAGAAAATGCTTCATGAGGCTTCATTTGGCCATCACTTCATGTACGTGCATGGAAGGGCAGAGAGGTGTGCTCTCTCCACCTCAGGCTTTCTACATAGGCGCATGAAAGGGCAGAGAGGTAAGATCTCTCTGCCTTATGGAAGGGCAGAAAGGTGTGCTCCAACTAAGGCTCTCCAAGTAGTCATGTGGAAGGGCAGAGAGGCCCTAGAACAGAGCCATACCACCAAATAAAATACTGCAAAGTTTTCTTGACTAAAGTGGTCCTGACTTAACGTATGTTTTTTCATAAATGAGGTGGCTGTAGCTCAGTTCATACTGACTTGGGTTGGGAACCATGGGGTCGCTGATTCAAGTCACCATGTACAGACCAAGCATGGAATGACAGCTGGAGAGGTGCCACTTTGCATCCTGGGCACCCCCAAGGTGCCCTTGAGCAAGGCACTGACCCCCAACTGCTCGGGGCGCCTGTCCAAGGCAGCCCCCTCACTCTGACATCTCTATTTGATGCACGTATAGGTCCTGTTTTTACATATGTTTGTACTTCTTCTACAAAATATACTGTACCTAGAATTATGGGAAAAGATTAAAGACTAGACAAACCCCATCACAGCTTACATGTAAAAAGTTAATTAGTTTATTATTATTTTACTTAAATGTGTGTACTTATCTGTATCCTGCTGTACCTGCTCAAATAAAGTTTTCTTTGACTTAAGTGGTCCTGACTGAACTGAGGATTTGCTTCATTTCTTTGTCATAAGTAATAGTTTACTTTGGGTTTTAGACTGTGGGACAGATCAACTGATTTGGAGGGTAAACGTCATAGTATAGCATGTCGTCCAAACTTTTGAAAAAAAAAAGTCATAGTACAGTATGTCGTCCAAAATCATGAAAAAACGTCATAGAATAGTATGTCATCCAAAATTATGAAAAAAGTCATAGTATAGTCCAAGATTATGAAAAAATGTCATTGTATAGCATGTCGTCCAAAATCATGAAAAAACGTCATAGTATAGCATGTCGTCCAAAATTATGAAAAAACGTCATAGTATAGCATGTCGTCCAAAATTATGAAAAAATGTCATAGTATAGCATGTCGTCCAAAATTATGAAAAAAGTCATTGTATAGCATGTCGTCCAAAATCATGAAAAAACGTTATAGTATAGCATGTCGTCCAAAATCATAAAAAAAAGTCATGGTATAGCATGTCGTCCAAAATTATGAAAAACTGTCATAATATAGCATGTCGTCCAAAATTATGAAAAAACGTCATAGTATAGTATGTCGTCCAAAATCATGAAAAAACGTCATAGTATAGCATGTCGTCCAAAATCATAAAAAAAAGTCATGGTATAGTATGTCGTCCAAAATCATGAAAAAAGTCATAGTATAGCATGTCGTCCAAAATTATGAAAAAATGTCATAGTATTGCATGTCGTCCAAAATTTAAAAAAAAAAGTCACAGTATAGTATGTTGTCCAAAATTATGAAAAAAGTCATAGTATAGCATGTCGTCCAAAATCATGAAAAAGGCATAGTATAGTATGTCGTCCAAAATTATGAGATCAAGAGAAAAAGTCATAGTATAACGTCCTCAAAAATCATGAAAAACGTCATAGTATAACATGTCGTGAAAAATCTCGGAAAAATGTTATAGTACAGCATGTGGTCAAGAATCTTAAAAAGACATCATTAGACATCAGTATAGCATGTTGTAAAAAATGAAGATAAAACGTCTTAGTATAGCACGTGGTCAAAAATAACGAAAACACGTCATAGTATAGCATTTTGTCAAGAATCTAAACAAAACATAGTATAGCATGTCGTCAAAAATAAAGTTAAAACGTCTTCGTATAGCATGTTGTCAAAAATCAAGGAAAAACATCAAAGTATAGCATGTCGTCAAAAATAAAGATAAACGTCATAGTATAGCATGTGGTGAAAAATCACGAAAAAACATCATAGTATATCAGGTTGTTAAAAATCACAAAAAATGTCATAGTATAGCATATCGTCAAAAATAAAGATAAAACGCCTTAGTATAGCATGTTGTCACAAATCACGGAAAAACGTCATAGTATAGCATGTCGTCAAAAATCTGGAAAAAACGTCACAATATAGCATGTTGTAAAAAAATCATGGAAAAACGCCATAATGTAGCATGTGGTCAAAAATATAAAAAAATGTCATAGTATAGTATGTTCTCAAGAATCTAAAAAAAACCGTCTTAGTACAGCATGTTGTCAAAAATCACTGAAAAACGTCATAGTATATCATGTTCTCAAGAATCTAAAAAAAAAACGTTGTAGTACAGCATGTCGTCAAAAATCTGCAAAAAATGTCATAATGTAGCATGTCGTCCAAAATAAAGATAAAAGGTCTTAGCATAGCATGTTGTCAAAAATCACGGAAAAACGTCATAGTATAGCATGTTCTCAAGAATCTAAAAAAAAAATGTCGTAGTACAGCATGTCGTCAAAAATCTGCAAAAAACGTCATAATATAGGATGTTATAAAAAATTACAGAAAAACTTCATAGTATAGCATGTGGTCAAAAAGCTGAAAAAAAGTCATAGTATAGCATGTTGTAAAATATTACAGAAAAACTTCATGGTATAGCATGTGGTCAAAAATCTCAAAAAAAGTCAGTATAGCATGTGGTAAAAAAAAAAAACAGAAAAACGTCATAGTACAGAATATCGTCAAAAATCTGGAAAAAAAACGTCATAATATAGCATGTTGTCAATAATCTAAAAAAAAACCCTCATAGTATAGCATGTTGTCAAAAATCACGGAAAAACGCCAAAGTATAGCATGTCATCAAAAATCTGGAAAAAAAGTCACAATATAGCATGTTGTAAAAAATCACGAAAAAATGTCATAGTATAGCATGTGGTCAAAAATCTAAAAAAAAAAACGTCGTAGTGCAGCATGTTGTCAAAAATCTGCAAACAACGTCATAGTATAGCATGTCGTCCAAAGAAAAGATAAAACGTCTTAGCATAGCATGTTGTCAAAAATCACGGAAAAACGTCTTAGCATAGCATGTTGTCAAAAATCACGGAAAAACGTCATAGTATAGCATGTCGTCAAAAATCACAGAAAAACGTCACAGTATAGCATGGGGTTAAAAATCTCAAAAAAACCATCATAGTATAGCATGTCGTCAAAAATAAAGTTAAAATGTCATAGTATAGCATGTCGTCAAAAATCACAGAAAACATGTCATAATATAGCATGTCGTCAAAAATCTCGAAAAAACGTCATAGTATAGCATGTTGTCAAAAATAAAATAAAAAACGTCATAGTATAGCATGTCGTCAAAAATCACAGAAAAACGTCACAGTATAGCATGGGGTTAAAAATCTCAAAAAAACCATCATAGTATATCATGTTGTCAAAAATCTCGAGAAAACGTTATCATATAGCACATCGACAAAAATCACAGAAAAAGGTAAAAGTAAAGCATGTCATCAGAAATCTTGAAAAAACGTCATAGTATAGCAGTCATCAAAAATTTGAAAAAAAGTCATAGTATAGCATGTCTTCAAACATCAAGATAAAACATCATAGTATAACATGTCATCAGAAATCTCGAAAAAAACGTCATAGTATAGCATGTTGTCAAAAATCAAGATAAAACATTATAGTATAGCATGTCGTCAAAAATCTCGAGAAAACGTCATAGTATAGCATGTTGTCAAAAATCAAGATAAAACATTATAGTATAGCACGTCGACAAAAATCACATACAAAAGTCATAGTATAGCATGTCATCAAAAATCACAGAAAAATGTCATAGTTTAGCATGTCGTCCAAAATCACAGAAAAACATCATAGTATAGCACATCGTCCAAAATCACAGAAAAATGTCAAAGTAAAGCATGTTGTAAAAAATCAGAAAAAAAAACCGTCACAGTATAGCATGTCGTGAAACTTTCGAAAAAATGTCATAGTATTGTATGTCGACAACAATCTCGAAAAAATGTCAAGTATAGCATGTCAAAAATCCCAAAAAATGTCAGTATAGCATGTTGTCAATAATCTAAAAAAAAAAAAAGTCATAGTATAGCATGTAGTCAAAAATCACCAAAAAAATGTCATAGTATAGTATGTCGTCAAAAATCCGAAAAACGACATAGTATTGTATGTCGTCAAAATTGGCGTAGAAACATCATAGTAGTTGTTGTCAAGCATCTAAAAAAACATCAAAGTATAGCATGTCCTCAAAAATCAGGAAAAAATGTCATAGTATAGCATGTCGTCAAAAATCGGAAAAACTACATAGTATTGTATGTCGTCAAAAATTGCAAGAAAACGTCATAGTTTAGCATGTTGTTAAAAATCTCAAAAAAATGTCATAGTATAGCATGTTGAGAAAAATCTGAAAAACACCATAGTATTGTATGTCGTCAAAATTGGCGTAAAATTGTCACAGTATAGCATGTTGTCAAAAGTCTCAAGAAAACATCATAGTATAGCATGTCGTTAAAAATCTCAAAAAATTGTCACAGTATAGCATGTTGTCAAAGATCGACACAAAACGTCATAAAGTAGCTTGTCGTCAAAAATCTATAAAAACAGCATGGTGTATAGGTATTATCATTATCATTACTATCTGTCCTGCATGTCTCTCTGTCTCTCTCTCTCTCTTTCTGTCTCATTGTGTCATACGGATTATTGTTAATTTATTTATTTATAATTTTTTTATTTAATTTAATGTTGATCTGTTCTGTACGACATCTATTGCACGTCTGTCCGTCCTGGAAGAGGGATCCCTCCTCAGTTGCTCTTCCTGAGGTTGCTATCAATTTTTTTTCCCTGTTAAAGGTTTTTTTGGGGAGTTTTTCCTGATCAGCTGTGAGGGTCTTAAGGACAGAGGGATGTCGTGTGCTGTAAAGCCCTGTGAGGCAAATTGTGATTTGTGATATTGGGCACTATAAATAAAATTGATTGATTGAATTGATATGTCGTCAAAATAAAACGTCATAGTATAGCGTGTCGTCAAAAATCTCGAAAATTGTTACGTGAATGTTGAAGGGTTTTGTAACTCGCTTCCACTCCCCACTTGTTGGTTTGGGACGGCACTCAATGGCGGAAATATAGTGAAATTTGGCAGGGAGAGGGTGTAGGGGTGGTTTGGGAAAGGCTGCTAATGTACCAAAAAAAGAAAAGTTTTAATTTAGCTCTGCTGTTTTTATTGTTTATATTACTGTCTTTTTAATTCTGTTCTCTGAGAGAGCCAACTGAAAGAGGCCAAGACAGAGAAATGCATTATGTAGGAAGAGGAGAAAGAAAGACAACAATAGGCCGACTGATGATGTCATGTTATTGGAGGACATGTTCAATTGTCATAAAGTCTTCAAAAAAAGACTAAAGTTTTAAATTAAGTCTGTTATTTTATAATAAACAGCTCAACTGAACATTTTTTGCCTGCCTGTTTGTCTGACTGACAGTTTTTCTGATCACTGAGAAAACGCTGATTTGACAACCAGTCAAAAAATAAATAACTTTGGAAGTAGTGAGTTACTTAAGTTATTTTCTCGTAGCTTAGCTTGCTACATTTCTCTGGGGATAGCTTCAATGTCGTGAAACTTTATTCTGATGTAGAGTAACTGGTAGCTTAATTCACTACATCTTCCAAGTAGTAGTGATGGCCAAATGAAGCTTCATGAAGCATTTTCTTTATTTTCCTAGCCCACTAGATGGCACTTTTTGTTCAACAAAAGGTTGAAACCACACTGAATTTCCATTCTTTGAGCCTTTCTCTATAAACCATGAGCGCCATCTAGTGGGCTCAGAAAATAAAGACAATGCTTCACGAGGCTTCATTTGGCCATCACTACCAAGTAGCTTGCCCAACACTGGTGGTACACAAGTGACATTTTCATGTTACATGTAACAGTTGAACAGCAGCAACATATCAGTCAAAAAAAAGCCCCGTTTCCACCGAGCAGAACGGTTCAGTTCAGTTTGGCATGCATTTTTTCTGTTTCCACTGTGAAAAGTTGTGGATGGTACCAACAGAAGCGTTCCATACTGTCCCCATGTCTGGTCCCCCCTCTGTTGGGGTACCTAGCACACAGATCTGGTACTAAAAGGTGGAGCTGTGAACACTGCAGTCTGATTGGTCAGTAGAGGACGGTCACTCTGCTCAGGGCTGAGTTGTGTCTGGTTTTGAGGCTCATGTAACCACTGTTCATACTGTGGAGAGTTTTATTAGTAAACTTGTCAGTCAATGCATGAGTTGATGACGTGAATCCATCAGCACACTTTAAATTTCACTGTGACAACTTTGACCATCACTTCAGTTTTTATATGACACACACTTTTAGTAATGACTTTAAAAATATAGATTAATTTGGAGCGGATTATGTGAAGGTCATATATTCTAATCCTCACTTCCTGTGGGCTACAGCAACACTAAACCCCTGAGCTTGCCTGAGAAGGACTAAATGCACAAAGCTGCTATTTTTAAATATCCCATGGAGAGAGACTCTCACTGCAGCCTGTTCTATTTTGTTGTGAAAATGTGGGCGTGCAGCCTCGTTCTGTGGACGATAAACCAGGTGCAGACTTCCATCTGTGTCACCGCTGATGAGGAAATACAGCGAGTGCTGGACGGAGCAGTGAGTGACAACAACCCCGCCCACATTTAAGAGGACTGTCTGAACACACCGAGGGTCTAGGTACCATGTCTCAAGGGTTACTGCTGGGGAGTTTTTCCTAACCCTGTGAGGGTCCAAAGGACAGAGGGATGTCGTGTGCTCTACAGCCCCCTGAGGCAAATTGTGATTTGTGATATAGGGCTTTAGAAATAAAATAGAATTGAATTGAGTTGATCTTTTGGTTCCAAAGGCACTATACCGAGCGTGTTTGGTGGAAACGGGGCTAAAGTGACATACCACTGAGACTCGGAGGAGTCTACTAAAGAGGAGTTCATCAGCCTCCTTTCCATCTGTGCTTGTCTGGTTCATGTTGTGGTGAACTAAAGCCTTCATCGCTGCTAAGAGGAGAATGAGCCAGTGACTGCTGGAGCAGCTCATTATGTCATTACATAAACAGACTACACATACTGTCATAAAAAATGTATCAAGAACTCATCATTTAGTAAAGAGCCCATCTTGCAGTAAAATGCTGGATGGAAAATAAGTCACCGTCATCCTCTGAATTGGTTTTGAGAGTGGTTTGTACAAAGATCGTCCTTTTCAAAATGTCTTCTTAAAATCATGTGGTTTACTTTGTTACAGCTGAAATGATCTCTAAACTATTAAAACCGTCCGTTAAGAAAAACAGTATCCAGCATTTTATTACATTATGAGTTTGACATACATAATCAGTACCGTTCAGTTCACAGTTACATCTGCAGAGAGGGTGAAGCAGATAGGTGACAGTGGGTGAATCCAAAACCTGAACGGGTGCATCCTCACTCGTCCTCGGTTCAACAAGGCTGGCACGGTCACTGTACACATAGATCCATATAAACGAAGAGTAAATGAAGCACTGCGGACGAAGCAGTGTGTGTGTGTGTGTGTGTGAGTGAATGAGTGTCTGTGCATCTAGATTCTGGTTACTGTGCCTCTTTTGGTCTTTTCCACAGGACAGGAGATTGTGTGTTTCCCAAGTCTTACATCAACAAACAGTTAAGTAAACAAATGGTAGGTGTTCCTCCTCCTCCTCCTCATCTTCATCTGAACTCTCTGATAATGCTGCCTCCTTCCTTCCCTTTGTTCCTTGTCATGTCCCATCTCCTCAGTTCCTTGCCGATGTTACTTCTTGTCGCTGTTTTGAAATATTTGTTCGTAGGACGGAGGCGGGTGGTTGCAGTAGGATGGAGGTGGAGGGTAGGGGCCCATCATCATGTGGGCGGAGCCAGGCTGTGCCGGGTATGCCGGGTGTGTCATGGTAACCCCTGGGTCGTTACCTGTCATTCCGTTGACCCCAAAGCCCTGCATGCTCCCTGGCTGCTGGGAAACTGGAAAGAAGAGGAGAAACAGTCATCATTTACTAAGGGGGGGGGGGGGGGGGGCAATTGATGCAGCATAGTGTCACAATATTTTGCGTGGTGATACTGTATCGACACACAAACACCAAGTATCAATCTTTTGTTACTAGAATAATAAAATCAGTTGCCTTTTCGGTCCACTAGATGGTGCTGGTGTTTTTTTTTTCCTGGTGAGGTCAGCAGAAGATATTGCACGTCTCTAGTGATGGCCAAATGAAGCCTCATGAAGCATTTTCTTTATTTTCTGAGCCCACTAGATGGCGCTTTTTGCTCAACAAAAGGTTGAAAGCACACTGAATTGCCATTCTTTGAGCCTCTCTCTTAAAACCATGAGCGTCATCTAGTGGGCTCAGAAAATGAAAAAAGCGCTTCATGAGGCTTCATTTGGCCATCACTACGACGTCTCCAGAAGTAGAATGTGAAAAGCACATATACATATATCCATAACTTAAACTGACATTTTTCAAAAAGGAGCTCCAAAAATCTCCACAGGGAACCTTTAACTGATTCACTTCTCAAACCTTTAGAGTAGTGATGGCCAAATGAAGCCTCATGAAGCATTTTCTGGAAGAGAGAGGCTCAAAGAATGGCAATTCAGTGTGCTTGCAAGCTTTTGTTGAACAAAAAGCGCCATCTAGTGGGCTCATAAAATAAAGAAAATGCTTCATGAGGCTTCATTTGGCCATCACTACTTTTGAAGAATCAGGGAACTTATTTTGAATTAACAAAATGCAGAATCCACCAGTGACAATCAAAGTTGCGATAAAAACCAAATACAAAAAATAAGTACACTGAATGGCTCTTTCATTTCATTCATTTCCATATCGGTTTAATCTGTTGGGGGTCGCGGGGTGCTGGAGCCTATCGCCTATAGGGCTGACACATAGAGACAGACATCCATTCACACTCACATTCACACCTACGGACAATTTAGAGTCACCAGTTAACCTGCATGTCATGTCTCACCTGGAGGAAACCCACGCTGACACGGGGAGAACATGTAAACTCTGCACAGAAGGGCTCCCCCACCCTGGGTTCAAATGATGTCATGTTTCATGTGATGAAAATATTAGAATAACAATTTCGACTCTCATTGTGAGCCCTAACCTCTTAATGCTATAAATAACTGCTCACTGCAGTACATGACTTCAAAGTGAAGGCTAAATGGATCATGAGGTAAAAGGCTAAACCAAAACCATTTGTCTAATTAATAAATAAATTTAGTCACTGACATGACTCCTCACCTTGTTTACTTATTCTTTTATTTGTCTGAGCCACCGCTGGCACTGAGAGGCCTTACCCATCTCCTCTGGGATAAAACGTCTGGCTTCAATCCAAAGCCCCAAATGAACTCTTATGAAATCATTTGATATTCTCAGAGCACAGAGTCAGAAATGATTTGAACAAGCTGTGACAGTGACTTTATTTTGGAGTTCATCAGAGAGAGAAACTAGTTGGAACTGCCTCTTCTGGGTCACCTTTCTAGTATCTGGTCTGCTGCAGAATTGAGTTTTACATTGGGGTTATTATTGGGGCACTCTATCCAATTTTCTGCTTGGCTGACTGACACAGTAAAATTCCACTCATTTAATATTAAGTCGTTTTATCAGCTGCTGAACCCCCCCACAAATCTCGACATTTTAAATGAAGAATCCTTAAAGACCGCAATGTTGATCACACTGAACAAGATTAGATTAAGCAAGGAAATTACACCGTGGATTTGGCTTTCGACATAGAGGACACAGTATTTTGAAACACAAGTTGCCATTCGATTGATAGAAAATGATGCAAAGTGTCACATGGTTAAGATTTGGGAGATGCTGTATGTATAGTAGAAATTTGAGTAAAGCGATAGTTGAGGCAACCTCAGCTCACATCCCAGCTGCATCAGCTGATCTCAAACAGCCCAATCAACTGATAGAGCAGATTGATGGAAGGGAGTCAGCTGACAGATCACATGATTCCTTTCTATGCAACCAATTGGTGAATCTCATTTAAGGCGCGCTAATTAACTGCTGCTGCTTCCTCTGCGATCTGCTTTGCAACCTGCCTCCACCCCAGCTCCTCCTTTTCATACTCTATCTGGCTTATCAATGTCATTTCTGTTTGTCATTGATGCTGCTCTGTTCTGTTCCCAGGAGGTCTTTGCTGCTGCTCTCCCTGCCTTAGGCTTTCCATGTAGGCGCATGAAAGGGCAGGGGGGTTTGCTCTTTTTCTGTCTCAGGCTTTTCTCATTTGCAAATGAAAGGGCAGAGAGGTAAGATCTCTCTGCCTTAAGGCTCTTTATGTATGCGCGTGGAAGGCAGGCAGAAAGGTGTGCTAACCCTAACCCTCACCCCACCTTAGGCTTTCCAATTAGGTGGATGGAAGGGCAGAGAGGCCCAAGAACAGAGCCATGGTGCCAAATGTAATACTGCAAATCGTCACTGTCCGATGAAAAACACGTATCTCCACTTTTGATGATTTTGACTTTCTATGCGCTTTGATGGACACTTCTGACACCCAATGGAGATACGTGTTGAATAGATGATGTAATAAAACGTCTTTCCATTGGTCATTTGGATACCCAATGCTAATGGTTGCTAATAATAATAATAATAATAATAATAATAATAATACATTTTATTTCTGGGCGCCTTTCATGGCACTCAAGGTCGCCTTACAGTGTAAAATACAAAGTAAAATACAATAAAATACAAAGTACAAAATAATTAAACATTTTTCAACAAACAAACAAATATTAGTTCAAAAAGAGAGAAGGAGAGCCTGAACAGGTGAGTTTTCAGCCTGGATTTGAAGTGTGGTAGAGAATCAATATTTCGGAGGTCGGGGGGGGAGTGAATTCCAGAGTTGGGGAGCAGAGTGGCTGAATGCTCTGCCCCCCATGGTAGTGAGGCGAACGGAGGGGACAGTGAGGTGAATAGAAGAGGAGGATCTGAGGGTGCGAGCAGGTATGGTGATAGGAGGGAGGGCAGAGAGGTACAGAGGGGCGAGGCTGTGGATGGCCTTGTAGCTCAGAAGTATAATCTTATAGTGGATGCGGTAGGTGATGGGGAGCCAATGGAGCTGCTGTAAGACGGGTGTGATATGACAGGTGGATAGGGTCCTAGTGATAATATGGGCGGCGGAATTCTGAACCATCTGCAGTTTATGGAGGATTTTCTGGGGGAGACCAAACAGGATGGAGTTGCAGTAGTCACCCCGGGAAGTGAAAAGACTGTGAACCAGTATGGTAGCGGTGTGAGGTGTGAGGGAGGGGCGTAGGCGGTTGATGTTGCAGAGATGAAAGTAGGCTGACCGGGTTATGCTGTTAATGTGGGATGAGAAGGAAAGCGTGCTGTCAAGGATGACACCCAGACTCTTTACCTAAGGGGAGGGGAGGATGGAAGAATTGTCAGTCGATACACCTGTGGAGACTGGGAGGGGGTGCGAGGTAAATGATTTCGGCTGAATGAACTGAGAGGTAAGATTTAAACCAGTCAAGGGGTGTATGTGTGATGCCAATAGTATGAAGTCTGTCCAGGAGGATGGTGTGTGAGATGGTGTCGAAGGCCGCACTCAGATCAAGCAGAATGAGGATGGATAGGAGACCGGAATCAGCTGCCAGAAGGAGATCATTGGTGATTTTAAGCAATGCAGTATCAGTAGAGTGGAAAGGGCGGAAATCAGAGTAGAATTGTTCATAAAGATTATTGCAAGAGAGATGGGCATGGAGCTGAGAGGCAACAGTTTTTTCAAGAATTTTTGAGAGATTTTTGCTAGGGAATATTATGGACACTCCATGCACTGTAAAAAGTCAAAATCGATCCAATCAAAAGTGGAGATACGTGTTTTTCATCGGACAGCGACGAAATGGAAATCAAATTTTCTTGATTTAAATGGTCCTGACTAAACTTGTGTTTTATTTCAAATGAAGCAGCAGCAGCTAAGTCCATAGGGACTTGGCTAGGAAACTGGAGAGTCACTGGTTCAAGTCCCTTGTACGAACCAAGTATGGAGGGTGGACTGGTAGCTGGAGAGGTGCCAGTTCACCTCCTGGGCACCACCAAGGTGCCCTTCAGCAAGGCACTAACCTCCAACTGCTCAGAGCGCCTGTCCAAGGCAGCCCCTCACTCTGACATCTCTCTATTTAATGCATGTATACGTAGGTCCTGTTTGTGCATGTGTGTGTACTTCTTCTACTAAATATACTGTACTTAGAATGATGGGAAACGACTAAAGACTAAACTAAATCCCATCACAGCTTACATGTAAAGTCTAACAAGTTTTTTATTTTCATTATTTTATTGTCATTTTTAATATTCCACCCCATTTTTGGAATTGTGTTTGCCACTTTTTAATGTGTATATTTGTCTGAATCCTGCTGTACCTGGTGTGGTGACAGGGTGCCTGGTGAAGGAGACGTTGAAGGCTGGCTCGTCTCTCAGAGGGGACGGATACATCCTTCTGCGGACAAAGAAGCCAGCACCGCAGCAGAACAATACTCCCATCATCAGCAGCACCCTGAGTAAAAGACAAGAACATTTTAACCATGGCTGTCTTAGAAGAAGCAGAAAGATTCCAGTGAGGAGGAGAAGAGGAAAAGATAAGGCTTTAGTAATACACAATACACAATACTAGTGATGGCCAAATGAAGCTCCATGAAGCATTTTCTTTATTTTCTGAGCCCACTAGATGGCGCTTTTTGTTCAACAAAAGGTTGAAAGCACACTGAATTGCCATTCTTGAGCCTCTCTCTTTAAACCATGAGCGCCATCTAGTGGGCTCAGAAAATAAAGAAAATGCTTCATGAGGCTTCATTTGGCCCTCACTACACAATACAGTACACAATTGAAATGTTTTGTTAGTACAGTGATATCTGTGACACAGGAAACAGACACAGAGGTACCACCATGACTGGTCACAACAAAGTCACACCAAGTTGCATATATAATTAAACAGCATGTTATTTCCTCAGATAAAAATTACCCTCCTCTGCTGTAAATCCCTCATCTCACAGAAACATGCAGGTAAATACTATCTGTGCCCTGTGAGGATTTTGGCATTTTTGCCTTTATTTGATAAAACAGCTTCAGTGTGAAAGGGGTAGAGGTGGGGAGGACATGTGTCAAATGGGGTGAAGGTTGGAATTGAACCTTCATCTGCTGCAGCAAGAACACAGCCTTTGTCCATTTACTGCCACTGCTAAAATGCATTTATACACAGTTCAACACTTTTGTGTTGCTTTTATTGGAAGTAGAGCTGCAGCTTGCTCATTTTCACTGTCGATTAATCTGTTGATTATTTCCTCTTTTTTATCAGTTAGTTGTGTGGTTTATAAAAGTGATAATAGTTGATGCGTTTCCCAGAGCCAAATATGACGTCCTCAAATGTCCTGTTTTGTCCACAAGCCAAAGATACTCTGTTATAAGTGAGTTGATTATGCTTGTTACATTTCCGTGTGGCACTTTCTGGTCTGACTAGGTCTTAAGATGGGCATTTTACTCCGTCCACGCCTGTCGGAGAGAGCAGGAGACACAGAGCCCAAACTGCAACTCACCAGAAGTACCATAGTCTCTGGATGGACAGGGCTCTAACACAGCAGCGAGTCCCACAGCAGTCCTCATAGGAGCGACATCTGCAACAACAAATAAAGCACACAGCGAGGAAAATCAGTGAGCAATACACGATGAACCCCAAAATATACCAGGCTGTTCTCACGAATTTTGGTGCAGACTTCCATCTGTGTCACCGCTGATGAGGAAATACAGCGAGTGCTGGACGGAGCAGTGAGTGACAACAACCCCACCCACATTTAAGAGGACTGTCTGAACACACCAAGGGTCTAGGTACCATGTCTGAAGGCTTACTGCTGGTTCTAAAGCTACTGTATTGAAAGTGTTTAGTGGAAACGGGGCATTAATAAAAGCACTGGCCCCACCGATCCAGTCATCATCTTGGACCAGTTATCCCAGCTAAAGAGTGAACTGTACCTGCTTGACCAGCTAATAGACAATGGGGACCAGCTACACCACCCATGTCCAGGTATGACCGGCTTAACCAGCAATTTTGCCCAGTGAAACCCCTCTAAACCAGCAGACCGTCCCATCGTGAGATTGACCAGGCTGGTCAACATTGTCCTTTAGCTTTAAAAGCGGCCAACAGAGGAAGAAGTATAGAACAGAGAACAGAACTACAAACTTTCCCTCACAGGTTGCAGAAAATGACTTCCTGTCTATATACTGTTTTATTGGAGGACAGAGAGTATCACTAAAGCACACTGACATTTCCTCCACTATAACAAGCCTCACAGCAACACACACAGGTGTATTGTAATGTTGCCATTCATCATGATTTCTGCTTCGTAAACAAAACTTGAAAAAATTTTCATTTCAAATGGCAAGCCCAGCAGCCTGGGAGCCAAATATTCAGGACAGTGGCCAGCGGTGATTGATCAGTCTATGGAGAGCAGCAGGAAACCTGCACTAATGCAGCTGAAATAATAACAAGGTGTGTGCCTGTGTGTGTGTTGTGTGACAGATGACTGTGGATAGCCAGCACGACAGTGCATACCTCAGACTCCCAGTCCTGTCTGGCATTTCAACACTAGCTCAGGGATGAGCAACCGTTGCCCCTGGAGGCCTACGAGTCTGCAGTATGAAAACCAGGAGAGTCTCTGCAACTAGCTACATCCATGCCAATGCCTGCTCAACTTCCTGCCTGTTTGCATATATAAATATTCTTTGTATTGGAGGTATGGTGGAGTTTAGAATACATTTAGAACAGTCGGCTCCAGAAGATCCAGACTTAACAGGGCAACTGTGACAATATGGATTTTTCTTACTGCAGTGAAAAAGCAACATATCACCACGGTTTAGTGTTTTACTGACTGAAAGTATTGGGACAACTGACTCATAGAACTCTGGATGTGTAGGCCGCATTATACACTCACTGGCCACTTTATTAGGTACACCTTGCTTGTACCTGGTGGAACCCCCTTTTTAATTCTTGGTGGCATAGATTTAACAAGGTGCTGGAAACATTCCTCAGAGATTTTGGTCCATATTGACATGACAGCAAACTCATTAGGTGCGTTTCCATTACAGTTTTGTGCATAATAAATGCAATATTTTGACAATTTCGATAAAGTACAATTGCGGCTTGCAGGTGTTTCCATTGAAAGGTGTTTGACATCTAAGACGTAATTCTTGTAAAGCTCCGTCTCGTGGGATTACGTAATTCTCGTTAAAAAAAATGTACGTCCAGAGTCTACTCCGTAAACTTATTGATGTTGGCAATGTGGTTTTGGTTGCATCTACTGCTGTTGCCATGACCATTTTTAACAAAAGATGAAGGCAGCGGATGATAGCGGTTTCCTCTGTCCACACGTACCGCGCCATTTTGTTTTGTTTATACGGTAGCCGCCGTAAACTGGATGGAAAAGAACCGGTCCGGTGACGCAGTGGGGTCACTTGATGTGTTAATGCGCTAAAAGTGTTTCCATTACATTTTGCGACATACATCTGTATCTACACGTCTGAAAAACCACCTCATGAGAGCGTAACAACTTTTTCGCGATATTTGAGAGGTTTTGCGAAATTCAGGTGTTTCCATTACCTGTTTTCTATTGTGCTACGTATTTAGGTTTTGCGCAGTTCTAGGGGTAATGGAAACGCACCTACTGTCATGTTCAAGAAACCAGTTTAAGATAATCTGAGCTTTGTGACATGGCGCCTTATCCTGCTGGAAGTGTACACAGTGTGGTAACCGTCAACTTTTATATCACCTCATACCTAAGCAGTGTATGGTTACAACCCGAGCACTTCAGTGTTCTGAGCTGTAGTACAACCAAAGAAGAACCTTTGATTTAGGGAACAATCATGCCGAAGGTTTTAAACTACAGTTTCCACGATGCTCTCACGATGCTCTCGGGGATGTAAATGGGAAACATAATGCTGGCATGGATTCAGTTAGTAGTACTGTGAGCTACAACTATTTTTAGCCCAAATTTGTTTCCGATTTCAGTGAGTCATCTCCATTAAAAGTGCAGAATTAGCTGTGTGCAGCGTACCCATGAAATGTACAGAAAACTGCATTACACTGCTACTGAAGAAAATGTTAAGACGTGATGATTGTCAGGCAAATTCTAATGTTATAATAAGTTATATCTATGGACAGCTCTGAGGCCTGTACTATGAAGCAGGATTTGGGGTTTGGGATTTCAGGGTTAATTCTTGGTTTTCAGTACTACGAAGCTGGTTCTCTTTTTACCGGGATAAATCACCATGGTAACTGATGCTGAACAGCTAACCTGCTCCGGAGCAGGTTGACTTCAGGGTATCAGATCACAACCTGTCAACACGTAGTGATGGCCAAATGAAGCCTCATGAAGCATTTTCTTTATTTTATGAGCCCACTAGATGGCGCTTTTTGTTCAACAAAAGGTTGAAAGCACACTGAGTTGCCATTCTTTGAGCCTCACTCTTTAAAACAAGAGAGCCATCTAGTGGGCTCAGAAAATAAAGAAAATGCTTCATGAGGCTTCATTTGGCCATCACTATCAACACGCCAACCTCTGATCACTGAAGAAAAAAGTATCTGCGATCAAAAGTCTGGAGTCTCAGGTAAAAAATCGGAGTCTATATTTCTGCATTTTCCATTATAAGATTATCGTTTACATCCCACGTTACTGACATTTTACTGTCTCGTAGTCACAGACACTGATACCGTTTCATCTCATATCATATGAAGCAGCCTACTTCATTCACAGTTCTGATGATGTCGCTTGTTGTTAATATCCCCGCAGCCTCTTTCACAGGAAAACCCAGAGTTGACTGAACTAGTTGAGTCAACTAGTTTTGTAGAACTGGTTATCCAGATACCCAGTATTAGGGTTAGTCAAACCAGATAATGAAAAGATATTCTTGGTAAGATGAACTGGGTTTTTAGTACAGGCGTCTGGAGGTTTATTCATGGTGGACACTGGTGTGTAAATCACACTGAATCTAGAAATGTGTATCATATCTGTGTTCAGTTGTGATTCCAAGAAGGAGTGCATTAATTGACGCTAATCACGGCAATGAGGTGCTCAGTTTTTTTAAGGTGTCTTAATTGTCTCCAGAAGCAATGTGTCTCCGCTGCTGCTGCTGCTGCTGCTGTGTACCGTGTTGATTAGCTGTATTAATTAACCTCCCATTAGAGCACCTGCACGCACACCTGTCCCTCACTTCATGCAGATCTGTTCCTCACGGCTTTCATTCTCCAGGTGGATGACGTTTAGTCCTTACTGGGTGAGAATTCAAGGTGGATGTGAGACGTTATTTGCAGTGTGTCTTGATGATTAGATCGTAACAGATGGCAGGTTAGAAAGACAAACTGACGTGACAGGTAGTGATGGCCAAATGAAGCCTCATGAAGCATTTTCTTTATTTTCTCAGCCCACTAGATGGCGCTTTTTGTACATCAAAAGATTGAAAGCACACTGAATTGCCATTCTTTGAGCCTCTCTCTTTAAACCATGAGCGCCATCTAGTGGGCTCAGAAAATAAAGACAATGCTTCATGAGGCTTCATTTGGCCATCAGTAGTGACAGGTATTCACCTTTGCATCATGACGTGGAAGAAGAGCTTTGGATTATTTGTATTTAACCTTCTAATAAATGACAAATGGATAATACTCTAGGTCTATTTAGTCCTAACTGCTTATTTATTTAATTTTCGATTATTTGTAGTCACAGTGTCAAACTGAATAAACACTGCCTTCAGCCTGCACACCACTGCACTGTACCTGTTATAGCAGTAGGCCTCAATACAAAGAAAACATGCCTCTAAATGAATTATTGATACTGTGAGATGGGTGAGGCAACACAGACAGGCCTAATGCGTTCTTGACACATGGTTTTTCCTGCACAAAGGAATTTTTGGCACCCCCCAAAGAGGTTTTAGCCTGCATCAAAGGTTTAATGGCAGTTTATCAAAGAACTGTTAAACAGGCAGAACATAAACTTAAATATGACGATGTTTACTGCCAGCAGTCAGCTCCCCTCTGGTTCTTTAATGTATTATTACACTGCAGCCTCTCGCCTGCTTTCTGTGTGCTGGGACTGAGCTTCTTCACACACACACACGCTCACACACACACACACACACACACACACACACACACACACACACACACACACACTGAGCGAAGTCAGCACACAGCAGAGCAGAGAGGCCATGATGGAGACACTGATGTGAAGCAGGTGAAGTGAAGACAATCAAAGTCTACTCAAGGTGATGACAACTGCGCTTGTTACTGTGAGTGCAATAAAACCTTTGTGAATAAAATTTATAAATACATCTGTTTAATCAGTATAAATGTAGAAAGCAAGATTTTCTATGATATAAAAGCATGAATCAAAGGGGTGAGCGAAGGGGAGTTAATTTTGTATCCTAATAATACGGTTTATTTAATATCCTACGAATTAGCTGCCCACAAATACTACGTCTTTAAAGTTAAGTTACACAACTAACATAAATTATGCCCAATCACTGGCATCATTATCATGTAGGATATGTAAGAATTTTGGTGCATTACTTTTCATAGGATAATCCAACACACTGGTCCTTTAAGTTTAAATTGAGCATAGCGTTAGTT